TAACTTAAAGTGTTTATGCATGTTTTGATCTATGACCCTCTTGGTTGTACCAGGACTGTGAGCTGGTGGCCTGCCCCCGTGCCCGCCCGACACTCAGCACCGATCACCCTGCAGACCACGGCACCCACTCCACCCAGTGGAGATACGGATCCTGGACGACGGTGAGGCCTGTTATACCAGATCAGGGATCATCTTCCCCATCCTCTGAACCTGATCTAGTAATAATAATTAAATGACCAGACTGATCTAGGACCAGTAACTGCAGCCATGTTGTATCTGCACCAGTGAGGGCATAGAAGTCCCCCGTCATGACATTGTGTGTGCGTGCATCCCAGTGTTCGGTGTCCTGTGGGAGGGGTACGAGGGCTCGCTACGTCAGCTGTCGGGACACCCACGGTGGCGTCGCAGATGAGGCCTACTGTGCACATTTGCCCCGTCCCCCAGAATCCTCTACGTGCTTCCAACCGTGCGGCCAGTGGCAGGCAGGAGACTGGTCCCCGGTACGTTACCCAAGTCAGCAGGTTTGGGTTTCAGTCTTTATCCACAGTGGCTGGTTTTCAGTTCAATCAGCATATATTTGTTTTTTTCCTCCCCATTAGTGTTCAGTAACCTGTGGTGCTGGGCAGACGACTAGGCAAGTGGTCTGCAGTACCTACCACCACCAGGTGGGGGCAGAGGTCTGTGACCCAGACGAACGTCCAACTGCAGAGCAGGAGTGCGTCACGGTCCCTTGTCAGTCTGTCTATCGCCCCGGCAACCAGCCCCAGTTGCCCAACACAGACTACCCCTACGAGCCAGGCAGTCACCCTGGGCACAGCAGTTGGAATGTACCATCTGCGAACAACCAATGGAGGACGGGTCCCTGGGGGGGGGTGAGTATTCCCTTTCCCTGTCCCGTGGAGCCCCCGCACCCCCTTCGGTCTGTGACGCTCTCTTGCCCGGCCTGCAGTGCTCCAGCACGTGCGCCGGGGGCTTCCAGCGGAGGGTGGTGGTCTGTCAGGATCTGGAGGGCCAGCCCTCATGGAGCTGCGAGGAGAGAGTGAAGCCAGCTGAGACGAAGAGCTGCACGCCGGGCCCCTGTCCGCAGTGGGACTACGGAGTCTGGGGCGAGGTGAGCGTCCAATAAACAGCCAATCACATGATTCCATGTGGCCACACCCATCTATTCCAGGAACACCTGCTTTTAATCCATCTGTCTCTGTTTTAGCTGGGTTAGTCACCTTATAATAAAAGGGCTTGAGGTAATATGCTGTAAATGTAATACATATCAGATATTGCATCGACTAAGAGAAGTGTTCAACATGTCAAAATTTTCTTAATTTTAGACTCTTCAAAATAGCCCCCTTTTGCTTCGATGACTGCCGACTCTTGGCATTCTCTCAGCCAGCTTCCAGATGTAGTCACCTGAAATGCTTCTCCAACAGTCCTAAAGGAGTTTACACAAGTTGACTGGGTACAAGTTTACTACCTAACACATCCCAAACCAGCTGTATGGGGTTTGGGTGGGGGGTGGGGGGGGGTACACAAGTAGAATAGCCTGAAAAACAAAAAATTGTATTATTACAGAAATAAATGCACTATGTTGCCCAAAGTATTGGGACACCTGCCTTTACACACACATGAACTTTAATGACATCCCATTCTTAATACATAGACTTTAATATGGAGTTGGTCCACCCTTTGCAGCTATAACTGCTTCAACTTTTCTGGGAAGACTGTCCACAAGGTTTAGGAGTGTGTTTATGGGAATTTTCTTCCAGGAAAGCATTTGTGATGTCAGGCACTGATGTTGGAGGAGAAGGCCTGGCTCGCAGTCTCCGCTATAATTCACCCCAAAGGTGTTCAGTTGGGTTGAGGTCAGGGCTCTGTGCAGACCAGTCAAGGTCCTCCACACCAGACTCGGTCATCCATGTCCTTATGAACCTTGCTTTGTGCACTGGTGCACCGTCATATTGGAACAGGAAGGGGCCATCCCCAAACTGTTCCCACAAAGTTGGGAGCATGAAATTGTCCAAAATGGCTTCGAATGCTGCAGCATTAAGAGTTC